AAAAAAAAAAAAAAGAAAGAAGGAAATGGTGGGTGAACATCACAACAGGTGCTGGGACACAGCAACGTGATTTCTGGTAATCAGAATCTAGATAAGTGACTTTTGGTTCTGAGCCTCAGAAAGCTCAGAGCAGAGTGGTATGCAGAATAGCACCGCCCCCCTGAGACATACACCCCCTACCCATGGGTAACCCGTGGGCACGTAAGGTTACACGGCAAAGGTGGATCAGGGTCGTTGACTGTAAGACTGGGAATCGATTCTGGATTTTCAGGTGGGCCCAATGGAATCACAAGGGCTTTTAAAAGTGAAGGTGGGAATCCACAGGGAGGAGGTCAGAGGATGTGACTGGGGGGCTCTGAAGATGGAGTAAGGGGTTGCAAGCCAAAGAACACGGGTGGGATCTAGAAGCTGGGAAAGGTCAGGTAATAGATCCTCCCCTAGAACCTCCAGAAGGAATGCAGTCCTGCCACACCTGGATTTTAGCTCCGTGAGACCCACAGAGACTTCTGGCTGACAGAAATGCAGATAATAAAGCTGTGTTGTTTAAACTATCAAGTTAGTGGTTATTTGTCAGGGAAGCAACAGAAAACTAACACACCAGCTATGTCCCTGGGTTTGCTGTTTTGTCAGAGTAAAAGTTGTTACCTGAGCTAAAGCTTTCACTTATTCTGAACTTTCTCAAGGAAGCCCTGCCTTTTGGTGACAGCTGGTTCAGGGCTGTCCCCTAAATGTAAAGCAGAGTCTATGGTTTGAAAAGGGATAGAGAAAATCGTACTGGATGAACTAAGTCTCTTTCTCCTCTTATAAGTGCTTACGAGGGGGATTAGCCAAGCGGTATAAAGTGAGTGCTGATGGCAGGATACTGTTCTGCAAGAACTTTTTTTGGTCCTATTTTATTAATGTTGAAGGACAGGGGATTTATCGTTTTCTAAGAGACTAAGGGTAAAAATTCTACAAAGAATATAATGCAATTTACACTTTGCCTTCAAATTCAATTTACTAGGTTAAGCCCTGAGTAGAAAGAGGCAATAATAGTTGGTCATAACATGTAATGCCAAAGGAAATCGTTCAGGCAAGGTCCCAGGACTGAACTGTGGACTGAGGGTGTGCTAGAAACTTGAGAAGGACACGGAAGAATAAATGGGGTCCGATGGACAAAGGGGAAGAGAAGTTAGAGGCTCGTCTGTAAAACCAGGAACTGAGGTCAGATGAGAGAAGACTGTCACCACCAATGCTCTGCCACCAGAGCCAGGAGGCCAAGTCGGCAGGCAGCCAGGACCTTGGCTGTTGTGAGCAGTTTGGTTTCCAATCTAATGAAATGACCCAGGCAGGACTCTGGTCACAAGACATGGCCCCATATCCCACAATCTCTCTATGTTCTGCTGAGTCACAGCAGCTCAAAACAGAGCCCAAGGTTAGAACCATCTCCCCCACTCACCGTCTTGCATGTTACTACTCGACATTTCACTTCTCTGATGCTTCTCATCTTTTCTTCCATTTGTTCTTTTTTCACCAGTGGCTCAAAATAGCGTTCCTGCAGCTCAGCCTCTGCCTGGAATGACAAGGCACATAGAAGACCTTGTACCAAATCCAACACATACTCAAGGCACCAGTTCAGTAATAAAAAAAACTGAAAAGCCAAGCTAACCATTATGAGGACATCTGATAAGACCTCAATGAACTGCAAACCAAAAGACAATCAAAAGTAGACACAAGCTCTTAATTTTCAAAAAAAAAAAAAAAACAGTAGGAAAACATCCATGACTAAGAAACAGAACATGTCAAATATAAACCAAAAGAGAATTATTTCTACTGTTCCAATATAGGCTCAAACTATGTAAGGTATTCAGTGCCTCCCCACTTGACAGCCCAGTCTATTCAATACTATTTTCTAGACCAAGCACTTGGCCGGAGTAATCCCTGGCTGTTTGGACTAACAGGGAGTAGGCAGGAGGGCAGAGAGAGATTTACAGCAGAATGTGGTCACAGCTCTGCAGTTGGAGCAGCTGCACAGGGCCCAAGGCCTTTGGTGGCCACAGAGGCAAAGAGCTCAGCTCTGCAGCCTTCCTGGGCTGGCTTGAGCATCTCTCCGGACCAAGTTTCAGGTCTAGCAGAATGGTGGGATATTTAACTGTCTCATTAGTCAGTAGTTTATCAAAAGAGCGGAGTATTCAGAGTACTGACACTAAATGAGGACAGAAACTGTCCCTGTGAGGACACTGTGAAAACGGCGGGAGTACTTTTTTTTGTTACCCCGGTGATTCCTACTTCTGCTACTTGCAGGGACTAGGGATGCTATACCTGTGGTGCACAACAGTCCCTCTACATCAAGGGATTCTTCTGACTATTCTAGACAGCACCCATGTGATGAAAAACCCAGTTATAGCTCTCAAACCTAACTGCTTTATAAACAACTCTACAATAGGGGCACCTGGGTGGCTCAGTTGGTTAAGCATCTGACTTCGGCTCAGGTCATGATTTCATGGTTCAAGAGTTTGAGCCCCATGTTGGGCACTGTGCTGACAGCTCAGAGCCTGGAGCCTGAAGCCTGCTTTGAATTCTGCTCCCTCTCTCTCTCTACCCACTCTGACTCTCTCTCAAAAATAAACATTAAAAAAATAATTAAAAAAAAATTTAAAAACACTACAGTATTTGTGCCTGGTTCAGATATCCATTGAATATTCCAAGAATACAACTGGACAACTCTTCTGTATATAGAGGAACAACTGTAGTTTGTTATCTTCTAAAGCTTCCTGGGTTATTCACGGCTTAAACACACACACACACACACACACACAATCAAAGAAACAGACCCATGGTATTTAAGTGACCAAAAGACCACACCGAGAGTCTTCATTTCTACTTGTTTCATTTACATTTATCATCCACCCCTCCGACTACTTCTACTTCATTATTTTTCCTGGGATAGTTGTGCCTACACATTTATATAACAAAATACATATATTTTTAATATAACCCCCCCTCCCCCTTTTCACATTATATGTAGGATATTATACTGATATCCTTGAAGTTTCTAGTTAGGTAATTTATATTACCCAAGAATTTTATTTCAGGATAATAAAGGAGCAATCCAAAATGTGAGGCATTGGAAGCAACTATGCCCAATGGGTTGTTAACTACTGATTTACAGTATTTGAAAAGCCAATGGAAAAATATTTGAATGGAAAAAAAATCCCTTCCCATAAGGCAAGGCAGGAAATAATAGCGGTGAACCGCCTAAATGTTACTTCAAAGCCATTAACCACAAGACAACATTTTTATAATACTGAGGCCCATTAAAACAATGTTACATGATATTCTTCAATTCAAGGACAAAGGCAAAGCTAAATTCTATCAGAAATATTCCTGCTCTTCGAAGTCAACTCAGACATATAACTACGTCTCGGGTGAGTCCCACAATAAAAAGTCTCAAGTCTGAAGGTCGTCTGTGTCATCTTTGACCTTTTGGGCTCTTACCTCTCTTAGAACCCCTGTGTGCTTCGACTTTGCTTTTAGAATTTTCTGAAATTCGTCAGATTCCAGGTAGGCAAGTTGTTCTCTTCTTTTTTTCCTGGCAGGCTCCAATTCATCTTCAGCTAGAGCAGAAAGGAAAAACGATGGTCATTACAGAGGAATTTCAGGAAGCCAGTGAGCCTCATGGACTCAGCTACCCCCGTCCTCTCCCTCTCTGCCTAACAGGCCCTTCAAACCTAATTTACCCCACTAGGTACCAACAGAGGGAAACTCTTAAGGAGTGAGGCTGAAAAGGAGAGCCTAGAATATGAGGTATGGCAGATTTGACCACTGAATTAGAATCTCTTTTCCACCTTAAAATAGGAGCTCTGATGACAGGAAACATCAACAAAAATCCTTTTTACAAATTGATGGTAAAATGTCGCTGCTAACTTCAGAGTTTTAAAAATAAAACAGGGCAATTGCTAAGAAATTATGCTCCTTTCAAAGCAAATCTTTATACTAATATATCTGTGCAAAGATCCAGTGAGAAACCTTTTTCCAAGCTCTTAGATTGTGCCTAATTTTATTTCAATTTAATGCGATTATAGAAAACGGTCAGTTCCAGTTGTCGAAATTCTATCTAGGTGTTATAGAGAGGTAAATTTAAGTAAAACAATGACTTTTGATATCAGGCATGGTGGTTATAGTTTAGAACATCTCCTTACAGATGGCTTCATTCCCACTGTTAACTCTGAAATCCACAGTACCTTGAGGAGAAAATGTGTTGTTCTTTTCTACACGTTCCTTCACTTCCAGGACATCCTGGGGGTCCTTCTGCTTCTTTTTAATGCCATTGGGATCTGTTTTTGTAAGAATCTGACCTTTTGCCCTTAATTTGGTTATAGCGGCTAACTAGAAGAAAAGAGGAGATAAAAATCTTAAAGATGAGACGGGTATCTGTGATCCCAAATCCTTTTTCTAGCTATTAGCCAGTGAATTCTGTTCTCACATACAAATTGGCAAAATAGATCTTCTCTTTGCTTAGCATTATTAACCCAATTATTAAAATTTTAAAGCATGGAGACAGGTCTATGAGCTAATAAATAAAGTTTCAGTTTATTTAAATATCAATAGTTTCATATCAGCTACACTGTGGGCTTCAAAACCCATAGAGGAATCACATAAACATTTTGGAAGTTTGTTTTAGAATCAGAGGGAATGAGGGGCGCCTGTGTGGCTCAGTCGGTTAAGCATCCAAGTCTTGATTTCGGTTCAGGTTACGATCTAAAGGTTCATGGGATCAAGTCCCGTGTCGGGCTCTGCACTGACAGTACGGAGCCTGCTTAGGATTCTCTCTCCCGCTCTCTCCCTGCCCCTCCCCTGTTCACGCTTTCTCTCAAAATAAATAACAACAAAAAAAGAATCAGAATTAGGATAGAATTTTAGCTCTGCCACTTACTAGTTTGTAACCTTACGCAAATTAACGTCTCAGCCTTTATAACATGGAAATGTTTCCCTAGGCTGTGTGGACAGAATGAGAGAATGCATGCAAAGCATGAACCTATACATAGAACATGGCATGTGTGCGTCGCTGACAGGTACATGCACAATTGTTATCATTATTATTACTGCAGGTACAGCTTTGGCTTATAACTAGCTTTTGCCCTTCATGTGGTATAGCTACTAACTAGAACAAAGAGAAGACAGGCTCCAGATGGGGCTCAGGGTGACTCAGGAAGTGGAGAGGTGGGGTTCTGAGCACTCTCGACTCCTACATCGATCAGAGTGACTGAGCTCTTGCGTAAGAGTTCTTTTAAAGAAGGATTCTTCAAACCACCATTTTACAGTCTTGCCTCAGTAATTCCTAGTTTGTCTCTCTCAGGCCAGTGTTTACGCAATGTCTTTTAGCCGTGTAAGGAATAGCGCTGAGAACGGGTTAACGTTAAATTAATGGCATTATGTTGATACCATCGTCACTTAAAATTCCTTTGACTCTGATTGTCATGATCAATAAAAAGCTATTACTCTTTCCTGGTCATAGATGTATAAAGTCTGCAACTCCAGTCATGTCCTACAGAATGCAAATTCAAATGGTGAAAAAAGATGTCACTTACCTTTTTGGCTTCTGCTAAAGCACTCAGTTTTGGTCTTGGTGGCGGGGACTCATCAAAAAATAGAACATCATCTCCTTCTGAGATGCCTCGCCCAAGCTTGGGCATCGGTGTGGCTGGTGTTCCTTCCAGGCTGGGGAACTCAGCCCCCATTTGTGGAGACCGAGAAGGGGCCCGTTGAGAAGTGGGTGGCACAGCCAGGCTTTCGACCCCACTTGAGCTTTGGAGAAATCTTTAAAGAAATATGCAGTCACACAATGTGCAGACTGGCAGACCGCAGGCAGGGGAGCAGCTGGTAAGTAGCTGTTTGTAAAATAACTCCCCTCCTTTGTCAGTAATTCAGATTAGCACACAGGAAGAAAAACGTTGGCTTTACTAACTCTGGTTTAATTGATTTTTCATAGAATACGACCACTGTTTTACCAATTTAGAACTGATTACTATTTTTGCCAACGAGCTTTCTAGCAAGTGCCTCTACAGAATGCAGCCTTGCAGGTGAGATGTGGGCCACCCAGGCGCCCCAACGGTAATACCTTTAAAAGGACAGCGCTCCCTATTTCACACAAGGCCACGACTCCCATGTATCTATTTAGCTCGTGTGTATGTAGCTACATGATGCATGCATCTAAAGATATCAAACTCACCTGCCTGAGGCCAAATGATTGCTCGGATTTTTCCAAAGAATTTCCTCTGGACTTTCCTGTTCATTAAACCACTGCCTTTCAGTGGCCCAGATTTGGGACAGTGTAATGGTTCAAACTAGAGCAGAACAGGTGTGAGTCCAAACCTGGCTCCATCAACCACCTGCTCTCTGGCGCTCAGTTGTATCACTCACAAAATGAGGATAAGAGCACCTCACAGATCATGGTAAAGGCCGCGTGAGACACTGTATTTATGCAGGACACAGCATGGCACTCCATACCCACCGAGCATCTGTGAACCTCGCTCTTATCACTGTTCTGAGAACTTGAGTTCAAGATCCTTTGACGTGTTCACCTTCTGTACCCATTTCTACTTGCTTTTGCCTCTAAAAGGACGCCACTTCCCCTGACTCATTTTCATCATTTACCTGAACAACTGCAAAATTTACTCACTGGCTTTGCCTGTACTTACGACACTAATTGTGGCAAAACTAAAGAATGAGAGACAGGGAACACGTTGCCCTGCACAAAACCCTCTGCAAGTGTTTCTTTCTCTTCTTCTTGGGATGGTAATTACTATAACCTGTGCCACCTAGTCTCAGATTCTCTGCATGAGTCAGAAATCTAGAACTTAAAATGTTTTCTTCTTAGGTTAGGTTAAAATTGTTTTTAAACTTTCAAACTTAAAAAAAGGTAGCTAACCATCCAAAACCTGAAAGCACACGTTGGAAATCTATTAAGACACTCTGAGAATCCCTGAGATATCTAAACAGAGCATTAAACCTATCCTTCTTACCGTTTCTGTATTTCTTCTGATCTCTTTTTCCTCATCTCCAGCATGTGCTGTTTCTGCTGCTTCAAGAGGGCTGACGCCGAGACAGACTGGAAAGCGGGTTTCAGGCTCCCCGTCAGCCCTAAAACACAAGCCATAGGCTGAGGCGCTCCGAGGGGCCGTGGGGATGCAGTGTGGGCACCAGAGAGGGGAAGGCTGACTCTACCTGATGACCTGGCTTTGGCTAAATGTTGTTTCAAGTTTCTGGCTCCAAATGTAGGCAAGTCCATCAGTTCCCTGAATTCCTCAGAGCAAGACAAGCTTTTCTGATGTATTCCTGGAATATACAAACATCAGCTTTAGAGGACTCTAGTTCAGACAGTTTGAGATCAAGTGATGTCACTTTCTTTGTCCTTTTTTTTACAGTAGGCTCCACGCTCAACGTGGGGCTTGAACTCACAACCCTGAGGTCAAGAGTGCTGTGCTCTACCGAAAGAGCCAGCTGGGTGCCCCTTGTGATATCGCTTTTTAAACTCCAGATTCACAACTCAGTTGTTTGTAAATGAAGTAGGTGGAATGCCAAAAGAAAAAAGAATCCTTAGTCTCTAATATGAGACTAGTAGGACTTTGAGGACAGAACAGATAAATCTTATTTCTAGTGATGATTAGAACACCAGTGTCTGTGGGCTCATTTCATACATAACATCTGGCACATGCACGATGGGTATGGTCTGTGCTGGGCCCTCACCACTGTTAGGAACAAAGCCCCAAGTGAGAAGGGCAGAGATGCCATTCTTTGACTTAAGACTTGTTTTTTTTTTTGTTTTTTTTTTTAATTTTTTTTCAACGTTTATTTATTTTTGGGACAGAGAGAGACAGAAAATGAACGGGGGAGGGGCAGAGAGAGAGGGAGACACAGAATCGGAAACAGGCTCCAGGCTCTGAGCCATCAGCCCAGAGCTCGACGCGGGGCTCGAACTCACGGACCGCGAGATCGTGACCTGGCTGAAGTCGGACGCTTAACCGACTGCGCCACCCAGGCGCCCCTTAAGACTTGTTTTAATGAAAAGGTAACTGATGGGTTTGAGCAGGAACCGGATACTATAGATTCTAATGCTGGACATTAGGAGTTAGACCAGACACATCAAGAAAATTTACAAAGCATACCAAGCAAAGACTCAGCCACGATAATATGCTGCTTTTTTTTTAAGATGCTGCCAGCCACGCCTGATTCCTTTGGCTTAGGCCACATCACTCAGTACAGTGATGAGGGAGTATTTTTAACTTAGGGTATGGGCCAAGACCATTTTCAATCCTAAAGACGAGATATTTAAACTGCAGAAAGAAATACAGCATCGAGAAAGCAAGTTACCAAGCTTTTGTTGGGCCTCCTGAATGATCAAGTCTGTCCCCTTGACGACCATATTAGTCAGAGTGGTTTGAATCTTCTTTTTAGGAGCAACAGCAGCTGCACTGAAATGACAAGGGTCACCCCCAAAAGGTAAGTCATGACACTTCAATGTTTTGATGAGGTAAGGGCACAGCTGTGTTCATTTATTACAAGCTGCCAGAAGTTTGTCACAGAACTAAGGAAACTTTCCTAATACTGTGGTCCTACAGTGCAGCAGGTGAATGTATTACATCAGGCAATCTGCAACTCTGGGTGAGGTCTTTCTGGACAAGCAACATGGCAAAAGAAGTAAACAATATGCCAATACTTTCATCAAGTAGTCTGGGAATTAATCTTAAAATGATTGAGGACTTTGCAAAAACTCAGAATCTTAACAGGATAAAATATTGTTTGTAATGTTAAAAGTTGGAAACTCCATTAATGTTTATCCACAGGGAACCGTGTTGTCACAGAGTCACCTAAAAGCATACTAAGTAGACACTAAAAATAATGCTGTAAGTGTATATTCGATAAGGAAAGGGTTAATTATTTTATGTAGGGAAAAAAGTTACTAAGTATAGGTCCATTTTGATCTCATTTTATATTACTAGAAATTTATACATATGGGGCTCCTTTGGGCTGTGCTGTATGCACATTTTTCATAACACAGCGGTATTGCTTTTTGCAGTTTGGAAAAATACAGAAATTATTTTAAATCTTAAAAACGTGCTTGATGTGATAAGCTAGGCAGGACGTGAGAGTCCTCTTGCCCAATTTCTGTTAGACTGGGAAGAAAATCTGTTTTGTTCTTGGACCAATGGTAGCTCCCTTGTGCCAGGTCCCCACCTGTCCTCATACGTGCTTCCTACAATACTGTGACAGTGCCACTGATCACCTAGTTTAGGGACTCTATAGAGGGCCTGTGCTCCCCAGAAGAGAGGCCGTGGATGTTTGCCTTGGCAGCACTCCACTCCTAAGGCTTGACTGCTACTGATTCACGGAGTTAAATGTGGATTCCAAGAGGTTTACGAGCTCACGGTAAAGGTCATGAGGGAAATGACTTAAAGGAGGCCAACACTATGATTAACATAGTTCCAGCAGCCATACAATCGCCCCTGACAAAGTTGCACTATGACATCAGAAGCCAAAGGAGAAGTGTGGGCTCCGAGGTAAAGACCATCATGACACGACTAATTTCTCGCCCCGTGTTCTCCTCTCTACCTGGGCATAAAGGAGGTCCTCGTCTACCCTGTTCCGGGCAGTGAGCTATGAAAGATAAAGGCTGTCCAAGTCTCCCAGGACTATTACAGAACAGGACAACCACTGGGATTCTTCTAAGGAGACAAGCAAGATCCCTGTCGCAAAAGACGCCCTGGAGAATGTCTTACATGGAGGCCGCGTACGATGCAGAAGAAACTCCTCCGTAGTAAAAACCATCCTGACACAGCCGTTCTCTCAGGCCGGTGCCTTTGCGGGCAAACTTCTTTGGAATTCGTCCTCCGGAGAAGGTTGACTGCAGTTCAGCTCGCCTGGCGCTGAGCTTCTTGTACTGGGTCTGGATGTGGTACTGGCAGTACTCACAGTCGTTCTGCAAAGGGCAGAGCAGCGGCATCAGGATTAGGGACACACATGGGGGGACAGCATCAATAAACACTGGTCCTTTTGCTCAGCTTCGAGGGGCACTACTCTTTTTTTTTTTGAAGTCTATTTATGTATTTTGAGAGAGAGAAAGAACACAAACGGAGGAGGGGCAGAGAGAGAACCCCAAACAGGCTCTGTGCTGCCAGCGCAGAGCCCAATACGGGGCTTGAACTCATGAAACCAGGAAATCATGACCTGAGCCGAAACCAAGAGTCAGACACTTAACCGACTGAGCGCCCCCCACAGGCACCTTTGTGGGGCACTATTCTAGGTGCAGAATCCCCCTTTTGACCTCCAAGCCCATTCTTAAAGGGGAGGTATACACAGACTTACTGGAATTACACTTAAAAGCTCTAGTCACATGAAAGAAAAAGTGATACTGTTCACCCCATATGCCCTCTTTCTAAAATGGAAGGAACATTAGCTTCCAGAATGAACCTCAAGAACGTTATGCTAAGTGAAAGAAGTCAGACATAAGAGGCCATATTACCAGTAGATGGAGGTGAGGGGGTAGGGAAGAGGTTCCTTAATGAGTATGGGGTGTTTCTGTGGGGAATGAAAAGGTTCTGAAACTAGAGAGCGGCTGGTTGCACAAGAGTAAACATGATGGGTATCACCAAAGTGTACATTGTAAAATGGTTAACTGCAGATTGTGTGAATTCTACCTCAATGTGCACTGATACAAGAATACACCAACGTCAGCATCTAGTGAAAGTTTTCTATTCCTCTGGCTGCCTCTTGGACTAATGATACTCCTTCAACGAAGGGAAAAAAAGGAAAGCAATGTGCTAACGTTCTACAGGGTGAGCCCTTAGGTGTGGGGACAGTGGGGTTTTGATGATTGTGTTCCTCTGTGGAGACCTGTGAGACACTTCACTCGGAGACTTCTTTTTCCAACTCCTTACCTCCTGCTACTCCCTGCTCAGCAGGTGATCTGTTAGGCAGGAATGAGGCAACTAACGGAGATGAAACTTGCCATTTAATCCTTTCAGAGAGCTCTAAGTAGCCCCACTTCACCCCCACGAGGATGGCCGTCACCAGAGACCAATAAAGACAGGTGCTGATCGGGACGTGGAGAAAATGCAGCCCTCCTTGCTGCTGGTGAGAATGTAAAAGCCACCTTGGAAACCAGTCTGGCAGTTCCTCAAAAGCCGAAACACGGGGGTTACCATTCGACGCAGAAATTCCAGGTATATACCCAAGGAAACTGAAAACATACATCTGCACAGTAACTGCTACATGAATGCTTGTAGCTGCAGTATTCCTAACACGCCCCACTGAATGATGAACAAAACTGATACATCCACACGACACAGTATTATCCAACCACAAAAAGAGAATGAGGCAGTGACACCTGCTATAACATGAATGAATCCTGGAAACATGATGCTAAGTAAAAGAAGCTAGACACAAAAGGCATATTGTATAATTCTATTAGTAAAATGTCCAGAAGAGGCAAATCCAGAGAGAGAAAGTAGAGTAGTGCTTACCAGGGACTGAGGGAAGAGGGTCATGGGGACTGACTGCTAATTAGTATGGTTTTGTTTTGTTTTGTTTTTTTCTGGGAGGGGGAACAGTACTGAAAATGTTCTGAAATCACATAGTGCTGATGGTTGCACAACTCAGTATTACAACTACTCAACTGTCCACTTTGAAAGGGTGAATTGCATGGTATGTGAATTGTATCTCAAGTTATCATAATTACTATTTTTTTAAAAGCTCTAAAAAAAATACAGGGTGCCTGGAGGGCTCAGTTGGTTAGGCATCCAACTCTTGATTTCAGCTCAGGTCATGACCTTGGTCACGAGATCAAGCCCGTGTTAGGCTCCATGCTGAGCGTGGAGCCTGCTTGGGACTCTCTCTCTTGCCCCTCTCCCCTGCTTGCACACACGTTCTTTCTCAAAATAAACAAACATGGGGCGCCTGGGTGGCTCAGTCGGTCAAGCATCTGACTTCGGCTCATGTCATCTCACAATTCATGGGTTCAGGCCCCACATCGGGCTCTGTGCTGACAGCTCGGAGCGTGGAGCCTGCTTCAGATTCTGTCTTTCTCTCTCTCAAAAATAAATAAACATTAAAAAAAATTTTAAATAAACAAACATTGGGGGGAAAATGCTCTAAGAAAATAAATGTTGGAGTTAACAGACTAAAATAAGGTTTTTAGTGTATTTTATCATAGTGTTTGATCTCTGGCACTACTCAGAATTGAGGGCAACTAAAATTCCGCCTTCCTCATACCTCCTAGTCAGTTGGCAATAAAACAGCACTTTCCTTCCTAACAGTTCAATCCTTCCTGCATCCTTAGTTTTTTAAACTGGCAGTTATTAGCCACACACTGAATTGTCTTACTTTGGTGCTTCCTGTTACGTAGGAAACTCAGTTCCAAGTTGGCCGTTACTGCTACGCTATCTACAATCTACTCCTATTAGCTCCTGTCTTTAGCGGAAACCACCCCAACAGAACTGAAACCAACCAAATTAACAGTCTGTGTACATGGCTGTCCATTCTTCTTCTTTGCTTTACAGGTTCCCAGGTCAAGAGCTTCACCCATGATTAAGATCTTCTGAGGATGATCAACAGACAAACACACCTGCAGAGAAGACACACGGTGGGACTTAAAAGTGAACAAAGGCATGGTCTTTCATCAGCAAGAATGAGTAAGAGGCTGGTTGGCAGGAGTTAGCAAGGCGCTAGCAGTCTATAGGAATTGGAAGCCAGGACCCGAAAAAACAGCTGTAGGCATGGGAGGTAGAGAAGACACGTTCACTTCTCTATGCAGTAGCCATTATCACCATCTTTGCTGCAGAATCCGGGTTTCTTATGGGCTAGCCAACGCTCAGCCTTAGATGATGGATCCTGTTTATTTTCCCAGCATCCCCTGCAGCTAGTGATGGTCATGTGACTACGTTCCGTACAAGAGACTGAGGCAGGAGTTCCGGACCAAAGCAGACAGAGTGGGGCTGGTTCACTTCCTGCCTTCAAAGGCGATGTGAGGGCGAGAACTTCAAAGCCATCCAGGGACCAAGAGGAGAAGGCTGAGAGGCTCACAGACACTGACTGACGTGACTACATTGCCTATGTCGGGCTTATTTATTATGTGAGAAAAACAAACCCCACTGTTTACCATTAAAAGAAATGGTAGGGAAGTTTTTGTTACTTGTAGCCAAATACTTCTGAACCAACAGATGAAGATTTGTTGCCATTCTCTGGTGAAAGGAAAGAAGTAACTTTGCCTCTCACTCTCTGGTATTATATTAAAGATAATATGTAGTAACAACAAAATGATGCTTCTTGCCGGTCAGGTGGAGAGAAGGTCTGCTCCTGTTCACAGGAGATCTCGGTTTGCTCTCCTGCTGCTTGAGAAGATGACCTCACTGATTCTGAGCTGCAGCTACAGCTGTACTAATGAATGGAGCCAAGTCCCCTCCCCTATAAAATCCTGCCTTCTTGATGCAGCCACTGAAATCTATGGGAGAGATCTAGGGGATCTGAACATAATAATTCAAAAACACTCCAGGAATCTTGAAACTAATTTGGAAAGATAAGATTTAAATTATGAAACACTTAAGAGTAGGTAGAAATTCAGAATATTGGTGGGTAAAGAACAAAAAACCAGATGAGGGGAACATAAAAGTATGACTCAATATGCAGGGGTGGACCAGTCACAAAATGTTTCTCATAAAACTTGGCTAAGCTGCAAAGACCAAAAAAAAAAACAACAAAAACGAAACAACAAAGAAAGAAAACCATGGAAACAGATTTTTACCTCCTCAGAACCATCCCTGGGCTTCATGGGGTTCGCGTTGAGCAACCCTATGACAGTACCCTGTTCAGTCTTCCAGAGTTGTTTGTGAACTTCTCCAAACAAGAACAACGACACGTACCGCGTCAGGTCACGGAGATCATTCAGTCGCCAGATACTAAATGTTTTCCCCTGGAACAAATATTTATTCTTATTTTTACTAAAAAATTTTTTGAAAAAATTTAACGTTCTATTTATTTTTGAGACAGAACACGAGTGGGGGGAGGAGGGGCAGAGAGAGAGGGAGACGCAGAATCCGCCAAGTAGGCATCAGGCTCCGAGCTGTGAGCACAGAGCCCGATGCTGGGCTCAAACCCCTGGGGCACGAGATCATGACGTGAGCCGAAGTCGGAAGCTCAACTGATTGAACCATCCAGGCGCCCCTTATTTTTACTAAGTTTTGCACAACGGGCTATACTGTCTCCATGTAGAAGTGCTCTATTGTGGAAAAATATATAAATATATCCACCCTGAATATATAATCCTGAGAATGTCTGCTAATTATAAATTAATCCTCTCTCTAGGCTTTAGTATTTATTACCTCTCTTTCATTTTTTTTAAATGTTTATTTTCGAGAGAGAGAGATAGAATATGAGCAGGGGAGGTACAGAGAAAGAGGGACACACAGAATCTGAAGAAAGCTCCAGAATCTGAGCTATCAGCACAGAGCCTGACACAGGGCTTGAACTCATGAACTATGAGATCATGACCTGAGTTGATGTCAGATGCTTAACTGACTGAGCCACCCAGGTGCCCCTGTTCTCATTTTAGAAATGGAAGGTGAAGTCAGGCAAGCCAATGGCCCATGTGTTAGTGAAGCCTCTAGTCCTCAGGTCTAAGTACTCAATGGGATAGTACCGCCTTTCTAACTACACACACAGTGTTAAAAGGACCACTGCAAGTAGTGGCACTACCATTTAAAAACTTACTGATGGGGCGCCTGGGTGGCGCAGTCGGTTAAGTGTCCGACTTCAGCCAGGTCACGATCTTGCGGTCCGTGAGTTTGAGCCCCGCGTCGGGCTCTGGGCTGATGGCTCAGAGCCTGGAGCCTGTTTCTGATTCTGTGTCTCCCTCTCTCTCTGCCCCTCCCCCGTTCATGCTCTGTCTCTCTCTGTCCCAAAAAAATAAACGTTAAAAAAAATAATAATAATAAAAAAATAAAAACTTAGTGGATCTACTATTTATCACTGATGATATTATTAACAAGAATAAAGAAGTATCAGCTCTATGCTATTAAAATCTTTGCCTAGTTTAGAAGAAAAACAAAAGCCTCATTTAATGACAACTGGCTATGTTTAATGGTCAAATTTCAAAAGCATTATCATGGATCTGAAGAAATGTAACTCAAAATGCTGACTGTATCAACAACTTCCACTTTCACAGATTTTTTTTTAAAACAAAATAATTTCAATACACAATCCAGCTATTTCACAGAGGCAACCCAGAGTGGGTGTGGTTATAGGTTATGGTGAGCCACTGACTGGATTTGAGTGTTCTATTTTCCCATGGATTTTTTTTTTTTTTCAACGTTTATTTATTTTTGGGACAGAGAGAGACAGAGCGTGAACAGGGGAGGGGCAGAGAGAGAGAGGGAGACACAGAATCGGAAACAGGCTCCAGGCTCTGAGCCATCAGCCCAGAGCCCGACGCGGGGCTCGAACCCACGGACCGCGAGATCGTGACCTGGCTGAAGTCGGACGCTCAACCGACTGCGCCACCCAGGCGCCCCATCAGTAAGTTTTTAAATGGTAGTGCCACTACTTGCAGTGGTCCTTTTAACACTGTGTGTGTAGTTAGAAAGGCGGTACTATCCCATTGAGTACTTAGACCTGAGGACTAGAGGCTTCACTAACACATGGGCCATTGGCTTGCCTGACTTCACCTTCCATTTCTAAAATGAGAACAGGGGCACCTGGGTGGCTCAGTCAGTTAAGCATCTGACATCAACTCAGGTCATGATCTCATAGTTCATGAGTTCAAGCCCTGTGTCAGGCTCTGTGCTGATAGCTCAGATTCTGGAGCTTTCTTCAGATTCTGTGTGTCCCTCTTTCTCTGTACCTCCCCTGCTCATATTCTATCTCTCTCTCTCGAAAATAAACATTTAAAAAAAATGAAAGAGAGGTAATAAATA